AGAAGACAGAAGAGGGTGTTGGATTCCCTGGAACTGGTGCCGTATAGGTGCTAGGATTCAAACCCAAGTCTTCTGCAAGAACAACCAGGGCTCGTAACTGCTGAGACATCTCTCTAGCCCCCTTATTTGCTAATTTGTAAACCTTCCAGATCTCCCAGAGCCTTTTGCCAATTCACATAGTTGCAGAGATCATCTTTTCATCATTCCTTCAACATGCTAGCTTACCTTAAATTCCCGTACAGCATGTTCTTGTCCTATAAGCTTCACCTCTTGGCAGTCCTGTCTCCATTAACATGTTTGAGCCATTTTTTCACTGGCCAGTCATTGGCAGAGTCACTCTAGCAGCACAAACTACATCTACAGGCAAAGTTCTAGCACTGAATTGATGAGGTTGCTGTTTATTCACAATGCCAAGAAATAGAATCAGTCTAGATGCCATCAACAGATATATGGGTAAAGAAAATGTGTACAAATATTCAGTGGAATTTTATGCAACGATAAAGAGAAATTAAATCATGACATTTTTAGGAAAATGGATGGAACTAGAAATCATTATGTTCAGTGAATGAGTCCGACTAAGAAAGACAAATATCAACATGCAGAACCAACCTCTTTTCCCTTCCTCAGAGCTACTCTGCTGCTTCCTAAACTTGCTCAGCTGAGTCCCTCTTCCAGGCTCCCTTTTTTTGTGGGAGCAGTAAGGTAATGTGGTTATGAGCACAGACCTACAGCTAGTCTCTCTCTGTTTGAACTTGGACACTGTATCTTCCTGGCTGTATCTATCCAAATACCATGGGGAAAACGGGACAATGTCTATTCACCTCAGTTTCCTGATTTGCGAAGTGAGGATGATACTATGCCATGTCCTCAATGAAAGGATCAGTTGTATTAACACAAATAAAGTACAGCATGTCTAAAAAGTTGAGAAACACTGGTAACCTTGTTTCAAACTATGTTAGTTTTTGAAAAATATGGTCAGTATCCTTTTCCTCAACCATTGGGCAACTCCCAATTTAAAACAATAAATCTAATTTTAATCTTCAAAAAATATATTGCTGGGAGGGATGAAGAGAACACTAATGCATCTTTCAGTTCTCATCAATGAAGTTCCCTCATGCAACAGTGGGTCAGGAACACAAAAGGCCATAAATGGCCAAACTGCAGAGAATAAGAGTCTGCAGGGTGTGGGTCCTGGGACAGGACTCCTGTATTGAGGTCCACCTACCCAAGGCTCAGGGACCATTGCGGAAGAGGGGATGGAAAGATTATAAGAGCCAGGGAGGAGGTGCATGACCATACAGAAATAGTTCTACAGGCACCTGGGACCCTTCTCAAACAAATCTATAGCAATGGTGTTCGCATGCAAAGACCCATGCAAACTTAGGCAGACAAAAACCCAGCACAGAACTGTGGAAATGAACAGCAAGCCCCAGTCTTAGTAGAAGAATTATTGACAGCTGATTACTGCCGGGTGAGGGTGAGGAAGAAATGATTTTTTCGAAGGGAGAAACTCTAGATAGGCTGACTAAACCCCGGTGAACTTGCACAGAGGGACATCTCAGGACACTAACTTTACATAAAAGGCCTTAATACAAATGACAGAATGTATGAACTCCAGTGGGGGGCAGGTTATGGGAGGGTGCTAAAGGGGAAGAGAAAAGGGCTTATAAACATGATTTTATGTATGAAATACACAAAAGTTCAATAAATATATTTTCAAAAGATTTATCATGCACTGAAACATCTGAAAAACTATGAAGCAAAAGGAACCCTTTCTCTTTGTAAATTGCTTATCAGTGCTGGACTAGGTGGTGCATGCCTTTAATTCCAGCATTCAGGAGACAGAGGCAAGCAGATCTCTGTGAGACTGAGGCCAGCCTGGTCTAAATAGTGAGTTCTAGGCCAGCTGAGACTACAAGGAGACCCTGTCTCAAAAAGATCAATATATGTATAATATATGCATTAAAGAGCCTCCCAAATTTCTAGAAATATAGAAAATTATATATACTTAATATGAAATCTAGAAAATTATACATACTTACTATGAAATTAACTTTTCACATTTAAAAAAATGGCCCAGGGGCTGGAGAGATGGCTGCTCTTTCAGAGGACCTGGGTTTGATTCCCCAGTACCCAGATGGTAGCTAACAACCATCTGTAACTCCAGTTCCAGGGGAATCCAATGCCATCTTCTGACCTCTGCAGGCATTGCACACATGGGTGCACTTACATGCATGCAGGCAATGCACTTATACACTAAAATAAAAAGAATAAAATATATTTTAAAATAAATTTCGAAAAACATTACCTGAAATCTACCTGATGACTTCATATCCATGCTCAGATGCCAAGGAGCTCAGAAAGTAACCGACTGTGACTAGTAATAACCAGATATATAGAGATTAGAAATGCATGTGCAAACATCTTAATGTCAATTGCATTAAAAATGAATTTTTCTGT